TGTAGAAAAGGCTTCTCACTACAAATCCTGCTCATTACTTGTCATTACTCTAATGACCTGACAGATATACTATCACTTCTGTAGACAGTCCTTAATTTAGTACTCTGACTTTCTGTAGGTAAAGTATACTCCTTACTTTTAGGCTTCTCTAATATCTATTAGAACAGATTGATTGTAAATTATAGGCAGATTGATCTGAGGGTTCAGAACTGTCAGAGCTGAATGTATGTGTAAGCATTCTATACAGACTTGATACATTTAAGTTGTAGCTTAGTCAAATGAAATAGTGCATGTCTTCTACTTAGTGTAAGTGATTAGTTCTAGTATCATTCTAAGAATCTTATTAACTAGTTCCAGGTAAAGAGCTTTTTCAAGTATTCTAATGAGGACATTATCAAACCTGAGCACAAATCCTACCTTTCAGGCTAGGATATCAAACTCCTGAAAGAAGGTATTAGTAGAACATTTGCCCTGTTACAGAGACACAAGCTTGTTCTACACATTGTACTTCTCATTTAGATTAATAAAGAAAGTACAGAGCTACCTTATGAATTCTGAATACAACTTGTTGTTCTAAAGTCAGATTAGGCTTCTAATCTAATAGCCTTTAATCTAGTTCTAAGCTTAGGTAGCCACATTACCTTCCTTTATAAAGGAGAGGACAAACAGGATACAATTAAGATCTGAGAATAGATTGGTTGAAGTAGTAGCTATGTATAGTTCAACTTAGTACTAGAAGTCCTCAAAGTGCTACCTATTAAAGTCTAAAGGGTAGACTATATACACTTTCTTTCTAAAACAGGTTACAACTTCTAGAACAATTGAAACAGGTTCTGAGAGTGTTAGAGGCATATAGTTGGTAAAGGCCTCTTAAATAGAGGTTTACACATATTAAGCTAGGTCTGCTTGTAACTACTAATCTAGTAGGACAGTAGGGGTGGCAGTTAGTGTAGGAGGGTCTATATTTACACTATAAAGGAATCAGTACTAAACTAAAAGGGGTAATGAATAGAAGAAGGGTAGTAAAAGTTTAAAAGGGTTTAGAAAGTTTAAAATTTAAAAATGTAAAAGGGTTGAGACAAAGAAAAGAGATTGACACAATAGTAAGTACTAATGTCTAAAATGTAGGAGAGTCATAGGGTAGTAATAGGTAGTCTTAATCTGATGTTAGTAACAGTGTAGAGGGGACCTAAAGGCTTAGTAAGGGGACCTAGGCTACAACTATCCTATACAACAGAAATACAGAATGTAAGTACTAGAACATAGTCAGAACTCACAGAACAGAGAGAGAGAGTGTGTGTGAGACAAGAGTAGAGTATATAGAGTGAGCCTAAGAGTACAGGACTACTTAGAGTAGACAAGATCAAGACTACAGAACTAGTCTAATCTTATATACCTATATATACTAAACTACACAAGAGTACTCAGAGAGTATAAGCTACTAAGAATGATAAGCCACAAAGAATGAGAGAAAGGAAGGTTAAAGATAAAGATACAAAGAATAAAGGGATGGACAAAGAGTAAGAGACTATAGAATGAACAAAGAATGAAAGGGTGGTCAAAGGAATGGAATGATGAAGTAAGGAGGGGTAGTAGTAAGAGTCAGTACACATATAGTCTATAGACAGTACCCCTGAGAGACAGAAGTCCTGAGTTCTAGTACAGAAGGGTGTAGAACCCTTAGAACTGAAAGTACAAGAGTAGAGAACTGTAACAATAACTTTACTGCCTGTATACACTATTCCTCTTAACTAGGAGTCTTTAATAAAGGTAACATCTTTGTTATCATACTCTCCCTTATTAAATTAAGGACTTCTAAACAGTGTATCTGCTTTTACAAGTGTTTTTCCAGGTTTATACATTAAAACAAAGTTATAGTCTACTAGTTCTGTTCTCTAGCAAGCCTGTCTGTAGTTTAACTCACCTGAGAGACATACTGTAAGGGGCCTAATTAGAGGGTGTACAAGACCCTTGTAGTCCCTCTAATTAGGTACCTTTTGAGCTTTTCTCTCTAACTGTACTTAATACTAGACTTAAATAGTAAAAAAAATTCTAAGTCAAAATAAAATAAAATAAAATAAGTATGCTGAGTGCTCTATATGGCAACTGTGCCCTCCCCACCTGCCACACCTTGAGCTCACTGTCTCATACAGTGAGCACACACTTTCCTCTGTATCTTACTCAATTCTTAACCAAATTTCTTTATTATTCCTTTAAAATTAATGTAAATCTAGTTGAAACTCATTCATAACACAAATACAATGTTAAATGTATTAATTACTTGTGTATTAA